CCTGAACCAAGGTGTAGAATATAATTATGTTTGAGGTGGGGGAGGATTGTGAAAGACTTTATTAGCTTCTTTAACTTTTAATGGTCTGCAGTCTAGCATAATTTGCTTAATAAATGACATTTATTTTGTTATGTCTTTTGATCTTTTGTTTGCTCTGGTTTGGGCTTCTCCGCCTAGTCTGATGACCCTGGGTGTAAATGTTCTCAATTAAATGAAAGTTAAAGTTTGTGCTAATTGTCTGTATCATAGTTACTCTGGGGGTATACACCATGGAAAGTGAATTTCTATTCTGTATTGTGAATGGATTTGGGAGGATTACAATTTGCAGGATTTGGATGTTAGAATTTAGAAGACCATCATTATTCTCTAAGGACTTCTGTATTTCTTTGTCAACTCTTGGGAATTATATCCTAGGGTTTTGTTGTTGTTTTATTCTATTTCACATTATTGCAGAAAGAACTAATGGTAGCAATGGCCCATCAAGAGTGACTGCTGCCAAGATGCCAGCTGCAGCAGGGAGGCTGGCCCAGACCTCCCATGCCACTGCTTGGGCAGAAGCCTCGCCTTCCCTAGGAGCCACTGCAGCTGCCCTCCCAGGTGCAGAATCCAGACTTCTCTGCAGTCTGCACCTTTGGGGACCCAGAAAGGACCCCATGCCACCATCTACACAGGCTCAGGGATGCCTGCCCCCACTACCTGGCCTCCTCCTGCTGTCTAGACAGTCCCTCCTACCACATTTGCAGCAATCAACAAATGCATCTTGGGGACTCTGGGGTCCACGAGTCCACAAGGTGGTTACTGGAAGCCTCTGCCTTTTTACTGTATCTCCCCTCTCTTTTCTGGATTTCCTCATGGTTCCCACTGTGAAATACTGAAGTGGCCACTCCCAGCAGGCCCTCCAAAGTACTATCTGGTCACACAGCCCATTTCTGCAGGCCCTCCTGACATCAGGGGCCACCTGTGCGATTAACTCATCCCCTAGAACCAGCTGTCCCTTAACCAAATCAGGAGATGGAGAATCACACTTCACCAATGCCCCTCCAGCCCCTTGATGAACTCCCATCAAATGTGTGACTCCCATCAAATCCCTGGTCTACCATGGATAGCTCAGTTCTATTAAGAGGCTGGACCCAGTCCCTTGTGAGCCTTCTAGTGTGCAAACTTAAAAGTGTTTCCTCCTCCTTTCTCTCATTTTATCATTGGGGGCTCATTTTGAGTCCTCCAGTGATACTGCCATTCTTCCAACTGGTCTGCCAGTGGTACTGCCATTCTTCCAACTCCTCCCCATCCATGGCCCTATATAAGATATAAAGCTCATTTCCAAAATTCTCTGCCACTTGCAGGATTCCCTGCTTTTCAGTGGTGGTCAGGGTTTGACTCAAAAGTAATATGAATCCTTCCAGGAGAGCTCAAACACTTAGGTTAAGTTCTAGAAAGCCTCTATATATCTGTCAGGACCATCTGGAAACTTGCCAAGACCCCCTTTAATTTGAAAAGGGAACCTGGACCTTAATGGTGCCATATTCACCAGGCATCTGTTATTGGAGCAGTTGAGACTGGGATCTGCCTAAAACGAAGATTTTTAGGCTGGGGCAAGCTTAAGAGAGAACCCACATAGGAAAGAGCAAAGGAGGTTGATTCCCCTGCTGGAGGCACCTCTGGGGTTTGCTTCCCTATTTCCCTGGGACTTTCTCTTGCAGCCTCTCCTGAGATGTCCACTAGGAGGGCTTAATTAATCCTACAATCTTGACAAAGGTCCGAATTGCCCTGCAAGGCAAAGAAGGCCTGCACATATGGGACCTTGGACCATTTGCCCTCACATTCACAGAACAGATTTCTTCCTGAGGCCATGTTTCTGTTTGATACTGCAAGGTGCTTGACACTAAGTTGGCAACAAAGGAAATGACAAAAACATGTTTGCCACAAATGTATGTGCAGATGCCAATGCACAGTTTGCTTTGTCTGTGGTGTTCTTAACTTTCCATTTTATACTTTTGATGACTAAGCCAATTCCACATTCTACCCAGTAATATCTCTGGTTTGCAACAACATGTTTAACATTTAACATTGTATATAAAGAAGAGATGGGAACCTTGACAACCACAAAAGAAAGAAAGAAAGAATGATAGGTAAAACTGAGGTCCAAGTGCCAACACCCTAATGGGCACTCGGAGACTGGAGTTAGTCCAGAGGCCTTTGGATAACACAAGGTGTAGCCTTGGCCAGATAACCTCAGTTGCGCCAAGATTTTCTTTCAGTCCTATGTGACAGCTAGATATTCATGAAAAGAAACTGGATTGAAACAAAGCCAACATTCTCAACACCTGAGGGTGATGGAGGATTGACAATGTCCTCCCCAGAAAGTCTGTTCTCCATGTCTTGAGTCCTGGTAGCTGTGCTAGTCGCTTTTAACTGACTGACAAAGGTCCAGTATTTTTCTTTCATTTTGACTGCTGTGGAATTTAGAGACTCCAAAAAAAGGACAGTAAAAGCAGATCCACTTTTATTTACCTTTCCGCAGACCCTGGATGAGCCCCCAAAATGTTACAGGATCTTTGGGGTGTTGCTTTTCTGGCCAGAAACGTATGTGACTGGTGGTGCCTTTGTCTGCTCTTTGAAAAGGTAGGGCCACTTCTGAAGATGTCTTGGTGGTCACCATCCCTGCCATATTGTCATCAGGATGGTGGAAACTTCCAGGACCTGCTCTGATGAAATCTCACCTAGAAACTGTGAAGTAAACTTTTTCCTTTTTGTGGAGAATGGGGTCTCACTATATTGCCCAAGCAGGTCTCATACTCCTGGGCTCAAGCTATCTTCTTACCTCTGCCCCCCTAAAAGCTGGGATTTGAGGCATGAGCCACCATGCCTAGAAACTGAGTTCCCCCAAGGCACAACATCTCAGACTCACGCCTGTAATGTCAGCTCTGGGCAGTGTTGACATGCCAGCCGCTTGTCATCTCAGCACCCTCCAGGCTTTGGGCACCCATGAGTGTGGATAGGATAACCAAGGAGGGTGCTGAGGGTGTCTTGTCACTGACCTGCAGGTGCCCATTGGTGTGAGCAACCTGGAGGTTATGGACAGTACTGGGAGGCAGACAGACTTCTGGAGGGGAAACAGGGTGGGTCCCCAGTGAAGCCCCACCTTCAGGCCAGTAAAGGCCTGAAGCCTGGGGGCCAAACTGCCAGTCCTGCAGACCAGACTGGGAACTTGTGGTACCTTTTCTGGACCTGCCCATGGTTGTCCATGGATCAGTTGACATGTGCTTCCTCCCCTCTGAGGCCCATAAAAGCCCCATGTTCAGCCAGAGCAGAGAGGATAGAGAGATGATGGGGTGGTCACCTGCAGAGAAAGGCTACCCCGTCTGCTGAGAAGAGGATGGATCAACCAGAAACAGAGAGGAACTACCCTCTCTACTAAGTGCTGAACACTTGACAGGTCGACCTGTTGACAGAGAGGACCTACCCACTGCGGGTCTTGTCTGAGTGGTTCTAACACTCAATAAAGCTCCTCTTCATCTTGCTCAACCTCCACTTGTCTGGATACCTCATTCTTCCTGGATGCAGGACAAGGACTTTGGCAAGATGCCACCAGCCACAGCGGTTTCTGATCAGAAAAGCAACATTCCAAAGATCCCATAACAGAACTACAGTATTGCCTCCAAAGCATTATTTACCAGTTCTCATACTATTTGAAATGTTATATATCACCCAAATCCTCAGGATATACATTTATGTGCATCTATGTTTGCATATTTATATACATCTTTACAATTTCTACAAATTAATAAGAAAAATAACCTTTAAGAAAAATATGATCAAAGAAAATGGACAGTAATAGGTATAACATTTTCATAATTCTTTATTTTTTAGAATTATTTTGTTCTTCACATATATTAAGACTGTCTTCTAATTTTTAATATTTTTACTATAATTTATAAGGACCCATGAATTCTCCCTTACATTAATTCATTGAAGAGAAGATTTGCCAGCTATGTTGTAGGCATAGTTCTAAGATTATAGGGGACAAACATTTTTCACTTTCTAAAGTCTTCCTTACACATAAATACTTCATCATAAAGATAAACCCAAGGAGATTCATTACACAACTCTAAATGGCTCTATTTTCAGGTTATCAATGTGTTGATTTTAGACAAATTGTGACTTTTCTAGTTCGTTGAGCACTTCAGATATGTTTATACTTTTTTATAAAACAGTGAATAATGTAAAGGAATCTTTGGTTGGAAAATAATACAAAATAGAAAAGAGTAAAATTTTTTAAATTAGGTTTTCACAAATCATTCTGACTCTCATTTTGCCTTTGTGTAGTACATGAATTATTTCAAACAGCTGAACTACTAATTAGTAGATATCAAGGAAATGTTAATATAATACTACAGGATTCGCCCTGATTTAACAAGAATCATTGGAAAAATAAGCAAAACAATTGTAACCCAGAAGCTTTCAAACATGTGTTTGGATTTACCCCACAGCCTTAACTTCTTTGTCACTTTTCTTTACTCCACCCAGATTCCCAGTTAAATATTTTCAGTTGACATCTACTCTGAGATTAATATTAGGTCCATAATTCTGCTTTTTTTCATTTTCATTATGCTACAATATGAGAGGTAAATATTACCTTACAGTTATACCTCACTGATGACAGTGGACTTGACTGTTTTTCTGTTGGGCTTTTGTACTGTTTCTCATCAGAGGCCTGTTTTTTTACATTATTATGACCAAAGTTCGTCTTTTTTTCATCAGTAACTATGAGGCTTGCTTTTTATTTTTATTTACTCACATCAATATAAACCACTGCATTGATCTTATGTTTATATATTAATTAATGATCTGTGCCAAACTTATGTTTGAAATTGGGAACAGAATTTTAATTCAAACATTTGAAAGATAAGATTTTACAAGGACCTGACTTCTATATATCTGATAAAGAAATATTTTCATCCAAAACCAACTGCTAGTAATTCTGTGCCTCTTTTCCACAGAAGAGAATGTTTAAATTTCATCAAATGAAACATATTTTTGAAATACTTGATAAAATGAGATGCCTGCGAAAACGTTCCACAGTGTCATTCTTGGGAGTTCTTGTCATTTTTCTCCTTTTTATGAACTTGTACATTGAAGATAGCTATGTTCTGGTAAGTTTTGGTGGTTAATTGTCTTTTCTTCAAAATAAGGCATAAGTCAAACAAGAAATAGTCCCACTGTAATCTAACTTCAGTCTCAAGCTATTGGAGAAGACTTAGTTTGAGCAAAATTATAACATGTATATTGTCTATTTTTTATATTAACCATACATCAACATTACACTTGTATTGAATTATTTTCCAATATTTTTAATGCTGTTTAGTTTGTGCTCCAAGTGTGTACATATAATTACAAATAAGTTAGCTATCATCACTATGCAGAATTAATATTATGTGGAACCATTAAGATTTTGGGTTTTCCATTTGAAATGTATAGAATGAACGAAATCTGATTAGAAAGTATTACTCCTTGCTTCCTCTACTTTTCTATATTATCACTGAAATTTTCAAAATTCCATTGTCTAATTAACAATGCTTTTTAATTGTGCTATTTGTATAAGTAATATTTTATTACAATGTGTAATATCTTATTTGGATTTTGAATAGACCTAGATGGCCACTCTGTTTTATATTTATACCCACTGAAAAGATCTCAAGAGATAAAGATATTGATGTGTAAATTATTCAGTAGTTAAAATGAGATGCCAAATATTGGTAGGTGATTACATATGAATAGGTTTTTTTAGGGAAAATATGACAATATGCAAAAGGGCTTATTCTGACTAATTATGAAAATTAATGTGCTAGTTTTGACTTTTTTTCTTATTGTTATTGTCACATCATTTCATATCTGATAAGATTAATATAGACATTATTGCTATTCACTTTTTCTATCTTAATGGAGCCTAAAATATCTGTCCTAATTTGTATGTTATTATTAATATTTATAGATTTCAGAAAATCAAAACCTGATTACAGTTTACATATTTCAGAAATCAAAACCTTTACAACTAACAGGAACTAAAAAGTGATTTTCACATGCAAAAATGCTGAGAGTTTAAATTAGTGTCTTAAAAGAGACAGAGTATTTCAAAAAAAAAAAAAAAACACTTTAGATGATTTATTAACTATTGTTTGCCAGATACTATGCTATATCCTATGATCCAACCATATTTGTTGGTTGGTACATATATTCCTAAGAAGTCCTCTGTAAAACATCTTGCATCCTTTAGCTCTGTTCTTTGATGGTGAAATTGTGCCAGAATCCTAGATTTTGACTTTGCCTAGGCTTTTTGTCTTCAAATAGCAGTTCTGATGTTGTGGACCCTTCGTGTTTCTGTACACATTCGATGCACAATGGTTGAAATCACCAAAGATTAAACAGGATTTGAGTAGGCATCATTTAGGCAAACTTAGCAAATAGGAGAAACATACTAACGTTATGCTTTTTTGAATATTTTTAAAACCTATTAGTTATGTGAGATATAATAAGGACAACAGAACAAGGCCCATGTGTTCTTGCTATTTTTTTCTTAAGATAATGAAACATCACAAGTTAACTAGAGATTCTCTTGATTAATGATTCAATTTTATAATAAAAATATATTTGTTGATTCTGTGTCTACTGGTAGAAGTAAATAAAATCTTGTAAATCAAACACATGTTATTGTTTGGAGGCTTGCTATGTTCAATGACTCATTGAATTTAAAAGGCAGTTTCCAGTGCAATTTTAATCTTTCACTTTCAACAAACCCAAAGGACCATTGAATGTGCCAAACGCCCTTGTGTCTTGAAATAGAACCTGTTTAAATTCACTGTAAAATGAGTAAGAAGTAGTAGAGTTTATGTCAATTAGAAACTAAAATGCTATTTTCCTGTTTTGCAAATTTTTACAGTGCTATTTAAACATTGGTCCTAGCCATCAAATGTAGATAGTATGATTTAATGAAGTAGCTCTTCTACTAAAGCTACTTTCTCAATGAAATTTCTCTGATTGTATTAGGAATATATCTACTTAAATTTACAAATCAGTCCAGGTGCAGAAAACAGATTGCTTCTTAGCTTTTAAAAGTTATTATTTTAAAATACTTACAAAAGTTGGAAAAAATGAGTTAAAATGATTGCTAAATTCCAGCACTCATCCCTTGTTCTATGTTTGATGATAGTATTATTATTATTTAACAATTTACTATTTACTGACTGATGTTTTTTAACCAAATTGCATTTTAGCTGAATTTTGCTTCATGGCTATAAATTGAAAACTTTTTCAGTGATTAATATTAAATTGCATTATAATTATTCTTCCAAAATTGAATAATATCCATGGGAAACTGGCCTCTTCCAAGAATATAAAGCAATTTCTTTTTAACACATCTCCCTTTTGATCTTTTTAGCTGTGTTTATTTCATTTTTTTATAAAATTATCTGAACTCATTTTTTCTTCTTTCTTCCCGATTATCACAATGTATGCAATTTGCTAAGCACAGACATTAGTAGGTCTTTCTTTTTCGTCTTCCTTTTTAAATACTGGGAAATAATACTTCTACCTTGGAGATATCAGGTGGATAGTTAGAACTAGTAAGGTCTCTGGAGTTAGTTAACACATTCTATTCTCCTCTTTTTGTTAGAAAATCCATTTGTGGCCTGAAACCCTAGGCATATTAGCAGTTTAGCATATTTGCTTATGTATTAGAGATATATGTGCCTTTAAGTGAAAAAGGAAGCTGTGCTTAGTGTAAGAGACAAACACTGTTACAAGGCAAACTAAGTAGAAGAGACACTGCATGCCCAATCAACTTAGCCTCTTGGCTGTGAACATCTTCAAAGTAGCCACAAGGGTATATATTTAGTCTGTAGCTAGTTCATTGAATTGCATTCCTTTCCAGAAAATGATTGTCGTAAAGCCTTGTCTTATTACTGAGAAATATACTACAGCATAGTAGCTACAGAAAGAAGGTATCCAGGGAGATCCTGACTGTTCAGGTAGATGCCTCTGGAAAGCAGCCAACAAGGCTGACTCAGGTGAAAGTTGCATTATTTATTTATGCTGAAAAGTGTAAAAAAGCTTGTTCTTGAGAATGTAATAAAGTGATTTCATATAAGTTCCATTTCTTTTTATATTCTGTTATGTCCTTAAATCAGGCTGAATGCACTCCATCTTATAACACAAAATTTCTAGATTTTATGTGTTCAGGATAGAATTTTTAAAGAGATATTCAATATCCTGCACCTACTTTAGAATGTAACATCAACTAAGAACAGAATGGTAAAATGAATTTAGTGCTGTAAGTACTGTACTTTTTATAGAAATTTCTTCCAGGCATTATTAATTATGTACACCATTACATTACTATTAAAATAATTGATACTAAATTGAGTCACTAGTTACTTTTTGGCAGTTCTAAATTTGTTTATTTTAAACTTTAATGATGTTTTATAGGTTTGCAGATAGACACCAATGAAAATATTTATGTATAAAGAACTTGAAATAATCAGAATTCAGTGGATAGTCAATTAGTATATTTCTAAGTAATTTAGAATCTAAGGTTTAATCTCAAGTACTTTGAAAGTTTATGGTTTTTACCCACGGCATTGTGTAAAAGCCACACAAAGTCACACTTTTACACATTGTGAACCTTATAAAGGACTAAAGTATTTCTTGGTCCAAATTATCAGAGGCAGTATAAAATAGAGAAATACACTATTAAATACCAAATTTAGATTTATAAACATAATTGGATATACAGAAAAGATATTCAGAATGAATCTTGATTTAGTAAGGACCATATTGGAAGCCTCTAGTTAAGATCCCTACTTTCAGTTTTCATTCTAAGAATAGTCACGTCTGGCCATAGATTTGAAAGTTTGAGTTAGTCATCTTTTTCACTGGCACTTGAGATTGATGCGAAGTATTGAATGTTTTCGTTGTCAAACTTGTATCTGAGCTTTGTCTAATTTTTTAGAACAAGGCTTTAATTAACATTTTGACCACAGAAAAAAATAGCAGGACCAAAGTTATTTAATCCATTTACTTTCTCTATAGTCTTAATAGCTAGCACATGCCTAGCTTGACTTTCTATACTGAATAAAATAAATCCACATAAGGCCAGGTGCACTGGCTCACACCTATAATCCCAGCACTTTGGGAGGCCAAGCTGAGTGGATCACTTGAGGTCAGGAGGTTGAGACCAGCCTGGCCAACATGGCGAAATGTAGTCTCTACTAAAAAATACTAAAATTAGCTGGGCCTGGTGGTGTGTGCCTGTAATCCCAGCTACTTGGGAGACTGAGGCAAGAGAATGGCTTGAACCCAGGAGGCGGAGGCTGCAGTGAGTTGAGATCATGCCACTGCACTCCAGCCTGGGCAACAGATCCAGACTCCATCTCAAAAAAAATTAATTAAAATAAATGAATAAAACCACATAGTAGAGTGCACATTTTGAAAAAAAAGAGAGAGAGACAAACATTTCTTTCTAATTAGGTTGTTCTCAAACGTATTCTACCAATTCTAGTAAATCACGTCTGAGTCAAACAAATAGTCATTTTCCTAATAGTGTATGACCAATAAAGGCTTGATCAAATGATGATTAGATAATCAAAATTTACCATTTAGATTATATCAAAGAAGGACAATTAATGGGTAAAGGACATATTTTAATCTGAATATGAATATGTTTTCTTGACTATTAACCTTCCTGAAGATTTAATGACATGCAAAATCCAACACCAAATAAATAAAATGGATCTAAAATATGAAAGGATTGGGCATTACATCCAATAGAATCTCTCTCTCTCTCACACACACAGAAACTATCATGAGAAGTATTAGTTCTAGATCTCTACACATTACCTTAATTTGGTGCAAATGTGTCCTATTTGAGGTTACTTTAGGATATATGAAAAAAATTACTGCCATATCACCCGTAACTAGCTCTTCTCAACAGACAGATAGTAGCCACATAAGTGACTTATTTAATAAAGTATCCAAAATGCAAATATTATGTCCACTACTGCATCTTCCTAATCATTCCTGTAGTTTCATAATCATGGAGACACTGTGATCTTTTTATCTGAGAGTGCTTGAAGAAGAGTAAATCAGGCAATATGGTAGGAACTAGCCTTAAATTAAACTATAAAATAGGTTACTGTCAATTTTGAGATCCCTAAATAATTGTCAAAAATTTGAAAAGTAGCATAATGGCAGTGGGAGTTTTCATGTAGCAATTCTTTTTTTAATAGATTGCCTTTATTAATGGGTCCTGTAGAAAAACAAGTGTAATTGTATATACAGTAAAATAGGCCAGCGAGCTACTGGAGCAGAACCTCCAGGTAAAAAATGAGGTGAGTGATGATGAGCTATAGCTTATGATGTCAGTAATTGAGGTTTATATAACCCTGCATACTATATATTGTAGTCATACATTTATTGTGTAAAAAAGAAACTTTATTTAATCCATGACCATCTATTATTTATGTATTTTTCTTGCCTCTTTCTTGGCATTTAGGAAGGAGACAAACAACTTATAAGGGAAACATCCACACATCAACTGAATTCAGAACGCTATGTTCATACTTTTAAGGATTTGTCTAATTTCTCAGGAGCCATAAATGTCACCTATCGCTACCTAGCTGCCACACCTTTACAAAGAAAGCGTAAGTATCCTTAAGCATTTAAATAAGGAATACAAAAAATATTTTGCATTAAAATAATGATAATTTGTTTCACATGTATAGTAAAAAGGCTTAAGGGCTTTACTCATATAATAAATTATTTGGAGAAAACTTCAATGTTTCTTCACAAATTGCCAACTACTATACTCATTGACCCAGTACCTTTAATAACAAAAAAATTAAATAAAATGCCTAATCGTGAGTCTTTTGAGATTTTGTTGTAGGATGTTGTAGAGTGACTAGAAAAAAATCAATTTACTTTAAAATTTAGAAGGTAACTTTTAAAAAATTTCTATGTTCATATTGCTACGTTTTTTAACCTCTAACAGTTTGGTTTTATGACTTGCCACAACTTTTTAATTAATGAAACTCAGTGTTTTAGTTTCCTAGGTCTGCCATAACGAATTACCACAAAGTAACTGGCTTTAAAAAAAGAGCAATTTATTCTCTCATGGTTCTGGAAGCCAGAGGTTGAAATCAAGGTGCTGGCAGGGCCCCACTTCCTCCCTCCAAAAGTTCTAAGGGAGAATCCTCGCCTCTTTCAGCTTCCGGTGGCTTCGCTTCTGGTACTCTTTGGCTTTGCAGCATCACTCCAATTCCTGCCTCCATCATCAGTGGCCTTCTCCTTGTCTTCCTGTGTCTTGTCCTCTTTTTATAAAGACACAAGTTACTGAATTTAGAGTCCACATCTAAATCCAGAATTATTGCATCTCAAGATCCTTAACTAATTATATCTGCAAAGATCAAATTTACTAATAAAATTACATTCTGAGGTTCCAAGTAGACATGAATTTTTGGAGGAAACTGTTGAACACACTACAATCTGGTAAAAAAAAAAAAAAAAAAAAATTGGAGCCAAGAAATGACATACTACATTTCTAAGACACCATAGCTTACAAAAAGTACCATTATCTAATTAGCATACCACTAAGAAAATATAAGCATTACCAATTTTAATTATAACGCTATTGATTGCAGTATGCAGCCTGATTTTTAAATGTTTCAATGCGTAAAATATACATCTTAGGCTGGGTTTGGTGGCTCATGCCTATAATCCCAGCACTTTGGGAGGCCAAGGAGAGTGAATCACTTGAGGCCAGGAGTTCAAGACCAGCCTGGCCAACATAGTGAAATCCCTTCTTTACTAAAAATACAAAAATTAGCTGGGCATGATCGTGTACACCTGTAATTCCAGCTACTCGGGAGGCTGAGGAGGCCGAAACAGCAGAATCGCCTGAACCTGGGAGGTGGAACTGCGTTCCAGCCTGGGCGACAGAGCAAGACTCCATTTCAAAAAAACAAAAACAAAAACCATGAATCTTAGAATAAAATACAGTGCTATCATGATCTTAATAAATTATGTGGAGACCACAAAAATTGGCCTCTCGTGTAAGACTTGTTTATGTGAGCGTATTTATTATCACTAGGTTGAGGAAATTGTTAAATTAATTTAGATTTCTTTAGATCTCATTTCCTTTCATTCTACCATTTGAAATGTCTACTGTTCTTAGGCTTCTTTCTAATTGTCTAAGACTGCCATTCATTTTTCATCTCTGTTACACCACCTTGGCTTGAACATTACTGATTTCCCTTTCCCGTGCTAAATTTACCAACGTTTATTGGCACACATGCCAACTGCTTTCTACCAGAGGCAATGTAACACAGAGGATAAAAGAGTGGGACACTTTGAATCCTGACACAACATCACCTACTAAGTGTACCACTTTGCATGAGTCACATCATCTCACCATGACCTAGTGTCCTCATCTGTAAAGCAGAATGATGGTAATAGCAAACCTACCCCAAAAGACCGTTTTGAACATTTAAGATGCATATTACAGATAAAATGCCCAAACTCCTGCCTCTTATGTAGACAGTATTTCATAAGCGTTGACTATTATTATTAATGAAGTTTGGTGGCTTCAAGTTTAATGGTACTAGATAACATATTGTGTTTCAATAGAAGTCTGAGTTGTAAGCCAAGGTATTTAAATGAAATGTGTAAATCACAACCTCTCTGATGAACTAGTAAGAATTCTTTTTTTGAATGGGACTTTTTTCAGTATCATACAAACCACATTATACAGGTGCCTGTATTAAAACAATGATCTTGTTGTATATAGATTTCCCCATTTTCTAAATAGTGGCTTAGAAATGTTATTCAATTCTGATTCATATGAGAATGAGCTTTAAAAAATATTTTAATAGAAAGACTTCTAACCCTTCTCAGAGGCAAGCTGTCTTTTCTCAGGGTTTTATTTTATTCTCTAAATATATCTAATTCCTAATTTTAGATTTTAAATGTCTGAATAAAAATTTATTCAAGCAAAATTACTATAAAATGCGTTTCAAAAATTTTTTTACGTGATGCTTGTGTGTCTTGGAACAATGTAGCATTAAAGTTTTTTGAATGTGTCTTATAATATTGTTTGCTTTCTAATTAATATAATAAGTGCATTTCGGGATAAAATTGTGAAGTCCAATTATGAAGTGTAGTACAAGATAATGAGAGCAAAAAAAAAAAAAAAGAAAACTGAAAATATGTGAGGTGTTCTATAAAAAATTTAAAGATGATTGAAAGACTTACCCTTATTTTTATTTTGTATCATTTGAAACTAATTTGTCAGACTTAACTGTGAATACTCTTCTCTTTTTGCAAAAGAGAAAAAGCATTTTATTTACTTTATTTTTAAAAGGAACTTGCATGCTATCTAAATACCTGTCTACCTTCTCTAGTGGGCGTATATGAGGATATTAAGCTGCAGAACGCTTAAAACCATTTCATTTTACAATTTCATCAATAAATGTTCACAGTAATAGGACTCATACATTATTATGCTTAAGATGCTATTTATTTTTCATAGAAAATATAAATTATGTACCAAGCACTTACAGCCTTTATATATTTAGCTTATTACTTTCATCATAAAATGTTCTGTGCATAGTCATTTACTATATTTACTTAATACATAATAAGTAGCAAGTCTAAGGAATAAATATCTTCTCTCTTTTTCTTTTTCTGCATTTCTAGTTCACATTTGTATTCTTTCTGAAATCTTTTTTGCAGGGTATCTTACAATTGGACTTTCTTCAGTAAAGCGAAAAAAAGGAAACTACTTACTTGAGACAATTAAGTCAATTTTTGAGCAGTCCAGTTACGAAGAACTGAAAGAAATTTCAGTGGTGGTTCATCTAGCAGACTTTAATTCTTCCTGGCGTGATGCCATGGTCCAGGATATTACACAGAAATTTGCGCACCATATTATTGCAGGAAGATTAATGGTTATACATGCCCCAGAGGAGTATTACCCAATCCTGGATGGCCTTAAAAGAAATTACAATGATCCAGAAGATAGAGTCAAATTTCGTTCAAAGCAAAACGTAGATTATGCTTTTCTGCTTAATTTTTGTGCCAATACTTCTGACTATTATGTAATGCTTGAAGATGATGTTCGGTGTTCAAAAAATTTCTTAACTGCCATCAAGAAAGTCATTGCATCCCTAGAAGGAACTTACTGGGTAACTCTTGAATTCTCTAAGCTTGGCTACATTGGTAAACTGTATCATTCTCATGATCTCCCACGTTTGGCACATTTTTTATTAATGTTTTATCAAGAAATGCCTTGTGATTGGCTATTGACTCATTTCCGGGGTCTCTTGGCTCAGAAAAATGTGATCCGTTTTAAACCATCTCTCTTTCAGCACATGGGCTATTATTCATCATACAAAGGGACAGAGAATAAGCTAAAGGATGATGATTTTGAAGAGGAGTCATTTGACATTCCTGATAACCCCCCTGCAAGTCTGTACACCAACATGAATGTGTTTGAAAATTATGAAGCAAGCAAGGCTTACAGTAGTGTTGACGAGTACTTTTGGGGGAAACCACCTTCAACAGGAGATGTTTTTGTGATTGTATTTGAAAATCCAATTATAATTAAAAAAATTAAAGTAAATACTGGAACAGAAGATCGACAAAATGATATTTTGCATCATGGAGCACTAGATGTTGGGGAAAACGTTATGCCTAGCAAACGAAGGAGACAATGTTCTACCTACTTAAGACTAGGAGAATTCAAAAATGGAAACTTTGAAATGTCAGGTGTGAATCAAAAAATTCCATTTGATATACATTGTATGAGGATATATGTCACCAAAACACAAAAGGAATGGCTAATTATTAGGAGTATTAGCATTTGGACTTCTTAGCCAATTAAATCAGTATGTTCAGTTTCTGAAACAGGTCTTCCTGTTTCCTCTTTTGCTACCGTTGTCATTTGGAGGGAAAGCAATGGATGGGATATGTTAAAAGAAACATTAATTACATTGGTAGTTTTCATTTATACACTGTTGACATAATTTTACTCTTAATACACACTTGTATTTATTTTAACGTCTGAAGTTGAATATAAGTCTATAGCTAATGCTATTTTCCTTTATATTTTTAAATGCTCTTAGTTTTTAAATTTCAACTGATTGTCAAAAGGGTAATATGAAAAATTTTAAATCAACAAATTAGCTTGTTGGTTGATGGTTTTTGAAAATTAGTCATCAACTGTATATACTTCCTCAAGAATCGATAATTCATTATATCATCAGATAGCTTTTATTAAGCATCTGTGGGAATATACAGTTGGGTGGAATGATAATTTTTTTGTGTGTGTGTAAACTTAGGTTTCCATTGACTTCTGTACATCTACAATGAATACCTCCTCATAGAAGTGGTGTCTTTACAACATATTTTTTGTGTTAAGTGAGGCTATGGAAAAAGAAAAAAAAAGACTTAAAAATATATCTCCCCTGATTATTTATATGAAAGGGGACATTGTTCATTGTTTAAAAATATTTAATTGAGCACCTATTGTTGATAAATTTTCTGGGGGAAGCTGTCTTTTTCTAGTTTCCCTTTTGCAAAAAAAGAGAAAAGAATAGTTAAGCTCAATATTTTCAGGTTACATTAAGTACCCACATTTAATAGAATAAATTAGGGAAGGCCTATAGTAGTTAGCTCATTCGTACAGACATTTTCAGTATATGCAGAAAATTTTGGGAAATTGATTTTATACATTTTGTATTAAAATCCATGTGATTGAAATTATTGCGATTTATCATATACTTTTTTTGGAATTTAAATGGGTATATTATAAAGGACCATAGAAAGTAATTGACTTTTCTGGAATCAAAGATCTATTTCCTAGCAAGGCCAGAAAGAGAGATCTGATATTCTGATAACCAGACAATGCTCTTTTTCTCGTATGATTTCTCCTGACACAGTTTATGCTTTCTGTGTTGTATTTGCTATGTGACTCTCAGATAATAAGTTATACCATCTGGAAATAGGTGGTACAATTCTTGCATAAATAATATTATCCTAAATAATGTCCTAAATGATACTTTTTTGGTATATGTACCCAAATAGTAAGCAAACTTGACTAAACTTTTCCTAATAGGGATTGGAGAGTGTGTCTTTATAATGTGTCCATTAAAGTAATTCAGGACACCTTAGTGTGTCCTAAAGACATTGGTTTTCAGAATGTCCTGAGCTTGTTTCATCCTTTTTGTTTTGTAATGAACAGCAAAAACAGGGATTTATTATAAAAGGAAATGGAAGGTGCTTCATATATGTTCAAGAAACTCAAGTACATGTTTATATAGATGACTCTGTGTGTTTTTGAGTGTGTGTGTGTTGGTGTGTGTGTGAAGGCTAGACTTTTGCTAGTAAGAAGGAATGAGAAAATCTTCCTGCTCTTCCTTTTCATACTGAAACACAGTCCTTGAGATTTACTGGTATGCTGTGGCCCAAACAACACTAGAATATTTTTATTTTATTCATTCTCTACAAATAAATGAGAAACTCGGATAAAAAATGGAAATTTTTTCTTCATTTATAAACAGCTGTTGTATATTTTCTTTGTATCCAGCTACTAAAGTGTTAGAAGAAAAATGAACCTTTCATAGAAGTCTAAATATTAATATTTTGTAAGGCATCTAAATCTTAACAGTCATAGGAAAATGTGAACACTGCCACTAAACTATTGCCTTTACCTTGATTTAGAGGATACTTGCCAGACACCTAAAAATGTTCTATTTTCTTTATTTTTCTTATCTTTTTTAACTGGCTAGTTGATAGCATTGTGTGTATATCTCAGAAGTTATAAATGGCATTATTTTCTTCACTGTCAATGATAAAAGATACACAACTGTATGCCAAAGATACATAATATCAAGAGCTAGGCAGACTCCCTGAAATGAGTTGTAACATTTTACATATTCTTCTGGGGATGACTTTCTGAAGATCAGCTGTTGGTGTCTATCAAAGTCTTAAAAATATTTCAGGAAAGATTGCTGAGGGTAGCAGTGAAGTTGGATGTTTGCTAGGAAATTATGAAAACAAATGTGACTCAGAGAGGTCATTTCACATTTTATCTTAATATCCTCTCTTTACTAAACCTGTGTTTGGATAAGTTGGTCAATCATCCAAGGATCTTCTGTGCTTTCTTTACAGTTGACATTGGGTCAATTTTCTAAGGAAAACCCCTTGACAAATAAAGCTTCTTCATTAGGGGTCAAGAGGAAAAATAACTCTTCTCTTTCAAAAGAAAATCTGAACCATTTTTTTTTAGCATGGTCCGATGTTCTATTTCCTATATTTAGAAACTTTGAATAAGGGTCTAGTAATCTTGTCTCAGAGTCATAGAAACAAAAATACAATTATTAGGTTTAACTATACTCAATCTATTTGCTATTTTTAAACATTTTTGCTGTAAGTTTATATATTTATATACATATATAACACATATATGTATATAATTTTCTTTGTTAAAAATAGCAATTGACAAAGACCGGCATTTGAGACATGAGTGGTTGAGTCATTTAATTGCCATACAAATAAAATGCTGACAGATTTCAAACAAAAAATACAGTATGTACCTTAAATAATGCCTCAGAATTGTATAATTTAAACTGACCAAAAACCTTACTTACACTTAAAATTCTCCTTAGGGGAGCCTTTTCAGCATTTATGAACATCAAAGAAAAACGTGTCTTGTAAAAGCACAATGAAATTCAGAAAATACACATTTTTTAAAAATACACATTTTAGTGGAAATCACAAATGTGGATACAAAAACATACATAAAATATGTTAATGCAAGAACTTTTTCCTACTCTTTGAAAACTGTAACCTTGTGCTATTTATAAAGTAGATATTTTCCAGGTATGAAAATATAATTTGGAAACCAACGTGTCATTTAGATGTATTTCTTTCATATAGCTATACTATGAGTTTTGAACATTCCATTTCTTACTGGGCCAGTATTCTCTGGGAATTTTTATAATGCTATCATAGAAAACCCTTTCTGTATAATAATGGTATATAAATGAAACAAACGTTTGCAAATTATAATATATGATGCAGTAGGGAAAGCACCTATATTTTTAGATGCTCTAATAGCATACTTCCTGTCAATATTTGCCAATTTGTCAACAAGTTTATGGCAAAGAACATGATACCACGATTAACACTGAAAACAGTACATCCAGTGTCATATAACAATTGAAGGAGACAGTGTGTAATTCTCTTCCTTTTCCTTGGCAATACATCCATCAGTATAGTAATGGTACCATACTACTGAGTAACAGAGCTCACACTTAAACTTTATAATATTTATTATTGGATCTGCTGATAAAATGATTTACCGTTTTGTACAAATTCAGCTGATTTGGATGAGTTTCTTGTAGGATTTAATATTAATTTTAGGATAATTTTATCCTGTTTCTTTTGATTCATGATCCCAAACTTTCTAGATCTTGCTTCTGTCATTCCATGTCTTATTACACCTTCCTAGCTTTGTGTTTCAACAAATTTTATATTCATGCTTTTTGTCTTCATGGGAGACAAAACAGAAGGTTCATGCAGACGTGATTTTGACACCCAGTTCTGCATTACTAGCCTCCAGATATGAGAAAATTTACTTAACTTTCTGGAAACTCAGTTTCTACATCTGTGAATAGGAATAATTTTACCTCGTAGGTTTTTAAAGGTAGCAATTTTACATTGTAGCTCCTTGTAGAGGTGGAATCGAGATAACATAAACTAAACACACAGTAAATATTGGTTTCTTTTTTATCCATGTCATGTATATGTAACAGAATATGACCCTGGAAAACATTACCAAAGGCCTTCATCCTAATCAATAACAATTATAAGATTTACTGCCCTTTAAAAATGTTACTCAGCCTTCCTTTTTATATTTTGTCCGGAGAATGTCATGTGGAATTATATAAACACTTTTCTAAAATCAACATATATTCCTGTCATTCTAATTTATCACTCTAGAAACCTTTTCAAAAATATCAAAATTGCTCCTAGTGCTCTCATTACAAATAATAATATTCATTTCTGTTTTAAGAAACCTCAATCCATTTACATTGAAAAACAAAGAAACATAAAGTCATTTTCTAATTTCCAAGATTTCGTTTAGAATTTACCTTAAGCTCAGAGATGCAGTCTTCAGAATCATTTTACTTTTTTTATTTTTGTTTTTTTAATGTCAGGGTCCGGCTCTCTGGCATCTTTTCTATCATTGGCAAAAGTTATCAATGCACTGACCTATAAATTACCTTGGCAGTGATGTTTAAAACAGATGTCTTATCTCCTAGTCTACTTTGAGTTTAATTGTTGAGTTTTCCATTGCTTTGAATTTCTTTGTTCAGATTGGGGTTATTCTTTTTAGGAAGAAAAAGACCAAAACAAAATTCAATGTGATTAGTTATTGCCATTTATTTTTTGTTTGCTTTTAAACTTTTTTTAATCCCAGAGGATATATCTTTTATTATATTTTTGGCATGTTATGAAACGATTTCATTATTGCATATGTGCATGTGTGTATCTACATATAGTTAATCTCTCAATCTGTATGTATATATACGTATGTATACGTATGTGTATGTATATGTGTGTATATATGTATACATACTTGAATATTATGTGAATATGTGTGTATATATAATATATATGCATGTATACATGTATATATTTGTATATGTGTTGTATAAGTGTGTCCGTGTGTGTGAGAGAGAGAGACAGAAAGATAGGCACCATTTCCATTATTTTTTAGCCTTTGCACCTCCACTTATTCTTGGATTTTTCAGACACACTGTCCTCCTGGTTGTGTTCCTCTTCTGAACTTACTTTTGCTTTCATGTTCTCACTCACATATTTTATACATAACATCCTCTGAAAAGCATAGCACATTAGAGATCTTTGTGCATCCTTTTAGATACTTTAAATTTCTTAAAAGTTTACTAGAGGAGGCCATCTCTCTCAAAACAGAATTTGTCTTTTAGAGTTTCAGGTTTATAGTTTTTATTTGAATTCCTTAACATTTAAAGATCAAAATATGAGCTGCAAAGCATTCTCTTTCTAAGCTACAAAAATATTAAGATAACAAGGTTGCACTTTCCCAAAGTTCCAGTCCCTTCCACCTCATTAATCTGTTCATCATGCTTACTCCAAGTCCAGGGTAGAATTTACTTCAATAATCCCAATATTTTCTGAGATGTTTAATATCCTACTTTTAACACTGAAATTGAAATGTATGTTTGAGATCATTTGCCAGATAACTGGATCTGAATATCCTTTCTGAAAAACATGGATTTGAGATGAAAGCAGTTTTTGATTTGACTGTTGCTTCAGCTTTCATTTCACTCTGTCTAGATGCTCTCTTGGAAGATTTACCCAAAAGTTAAATTGATCATGTGATAAAGTGATAGGTAAATTGTATATGACCAGAGAGGTACCATTACATTAAGAATATAGCATGATCACATTTTCACATAGTATTGGATTTAAAAGTACCCTAAGTAGCCATCTCCTTAAAGTAGGTGAGCCAAAGAAATAATAAGATATTCAATATTTTTCTATAAAATAAAAGTTTCCATGAGGCACACATACGTTAAATTTAATATGTAGAATTTAATTTACTTTACATTACCTTAAGAGTTGTTTAAGGGTGCACAACAATAGTGAATTACCAATATTCAGAAGCTTAGTCTATAATTTCAATGTACTGTAAGTTACTACAGCTTCAACCACAATAGCTGGCATAATCTAAATCATTCTGCCCAAATACAGGTAATTATAGTTTTGATGCACAAAAATTCCCAAAATCAATGCATATATAAAGCAATAGAGGTGAGAGTGTTCATAATTGAAAGCTAACTATTGCAAAAATATTTTAAATATTTAATTTATAGTGCACTCAAAGTTCTGGAAGAGATGTAGAGATTTGTCTCTCCCACCCTTTCCCTCACTTTACCATTTATTATGAAGGTACCTAAAGTATAACACAGAGATATGTGGCAGTTCCATACATCTCAATCAATAAAGCTCTAACTGTATTAGAAACTAGATATTTAAAAAGTACTTTTATTGTAATTTCATCTGTGTTGGGTTTCTCATTGAATAACAATCTGTCAATTGGAAAATGTTTAAAGTAGTACATGCCTCTTGTTCTCAATTGGAAAATGTTCTCAATTGGAAAATGTTTAAAGTAGTACATACTT